TATATTTTGATTATCACAGCTTGTAGCTCTAAACACACAAACTACAATTAAAAGGTTCAAGTCAGAAAAAATAAAACTATGTTAATGGACACATTGCTGAAATCACCTTTAAAAATTAAATATTTATTCGAATTTAAATTAAGAATCATGTCCATCCTGCTCCCAGATGGACAAACTTGGCAAAACAGGAATAATAATAAAAATGAAAAAAAGAGCTGTAATAACAATTTGTGCAATGAAGGGAATAAATTGTACCTAAATTACAAAATAATAGACTTCAAACCAGTGAGCACTTAAGCATAAGTTTAATTGTAAACAGGTGAGCAGTTCATCTCCCTTTAATGAGACCACTGAGAAGTGAAATGCACTTATGGGGCTGAGGCCTAACATAGGCATTATTGACTAGAGTATTAATCAATTAAGAAAGCAGTAAAAAAGCAATGGTGGTATGTACATGTTAAAGATGTGTGTTTGTGCTAGTGTGTTTGACAGATTTGCTTCTTCCCCATGAACTGTGTAAATGAATCATCCTGTCACCAGGGAGATGGACTACAGGTGGGTTTCATAACCAATCTGGCTGTCTTAACTTTAGCTATTTAAGCTATTCATCTAATCTCCTGCTGTAGCTAAGGGGGAGGTTTTGTTTTATCTTTTTCATCCTTTGGAGGTACTGATTTCTCTCTTTTGACTATAAAAGGAGCCAAAGTGACTCAAATTAAACTAGATATGTTTAGCTGGATATAGTCAGGTGAAATTAAGTGTCCTGGGGTCTAGTTTTAGAATAGATAAGACAACTGTGCACATATTGCACTTAATGGATCTCATTGTGGGAGGTGCACATAAGCACTGTCTGATTTCTTTTAACTTCAATTGTGCAGACTCTGTCACTAATGGCTTCCAAAAGGTTAGACATCTCTGCCTTACAATACCACAGAGCACAAACAAATACAAACATAAGTTGCAAGCCTGTATGTTTATTATTTTGTGCAGTCCAATTGAAATTATTTACATTTTTAAGGTTGTAAAATGCTGTAAGTTTGAGGTCAGTACAACGGTGGATAGACACAAAACTGAAGCCTCTCCCATTCACAAAGCAACAACCTTCATATATTACCTGGCTAAAATGGCTTATATGGTCATTCAGATGCATAGCCACTCACAGTATGTGGTTTCACTGGGTCATGCCAGGGGCTTTGCAACACACCTGGAGCCAGGCAAATGCCTTGCAGCTTTGGTGCTGATCCAATCAAGCACAGAAATAACTGGGAAATGACTCATGCTGAGAGGTGGATGCTTGCTGTTAATCTCAGCTTTTAAAATGTACACGGTTTGTCATCATTTTTCATTGTGGTGAATATGTGTGTCTGGATGATTTTGTTTCACAATTGTCTGATGTTTGCCATGGACTCTCTTTTCAGCTCATGTGCTGCAATCATTTGCTTTTCACTTGAAAGAATGCAATCAGACAAAAATCTCTTCCAAACCAGTTTCGCTGAAGAAAAGATCTAAGCAGGAGAAGTAAATATATGAGGTAGGATGGAGAGGAATGTGTTCTGACCCTGAGACATCTGCTCTTTTAAACGTTATGTTGTAAACGTTTAGCCACATGTGCATCTGTCACCCGTAAAAGCTGAGCTAAGGAGGAGGAGATGGGGGTGAGAGACAGAGGAAATGGGATATTAATTATGTTCCCAGATGATACTGAGTAGTGAGATGCTGCTGAATTATGGATGCGGTTGGAGAAGAAAAGTAATAAGAAAATACCTAGTAAGGCCAAAAGTATGGAAAAATTCAGATGCATGTCAGACACTGTTGTTTATCTACGGAAGATGAATACTAAGTGAATACTAAATACTAATCATACAGAAATATGAATACTAAATGTAAAGCCACAAAGGAATTGAATGAATTTGTAGTTTGCAATATGGAGTGGCATCACGGGTATGCACATGCTTCAGTCTGAGAATGTCTTGGATCACTGCACTTTTCTCATATACAACTGAAACACATGCCCAAGTATTTCATTAAATGGGAATAGTATGTCTACTAACACAATTGAAGTGTAGTATGGATTTAAACTGGTTTCTGAATTAAGGTTTTGTCATTAAAAAAAAAAAAGCCATTGTCATAATAAGCAAGAAATGCAGAGGCACTGTCTCATGAAGTCTCACACAAAGGTGTTGACAGGTTCTCTGCCCACAGTTTCTAAAGGCTCTGGGAAAGACAATTGTTTTTATTTTAAGTTCTGAATGAACAGAAATAGTACTGAAGCAGAAATGGAAACAATAAATGACATTTAAGTTGGAAAATCTGGCCTAGCTCTCTCAAGTTATCACCTTCGACATTTTTCTGTGGCTTTAGTGAGTGTTACACTACTCTCTGTGTGTATAAACTTGAGACAACAATCTTCATCTGGCAAAGTAATGGCTGTGTGAAATTGTCCTGGAACACAAGTAGGTTTAGATGCCATCTTTCAATTAAAATAGAATCACAGAATCAGCTGGGTTGGAAGGGACTTCCGAGATCATCAAGTCCAACTCTTGATCCACTACTGCTGTGGTTGGTAGACCATGGCACTAAGTGCCACATCCAGTCTTATCTTAAAAACCTCCAGGGATGAAGAATCCACCACTTCCCTGGGCAGCCCATTCCAATGCCTGACTACCCTCCCTGTAAAGAAATTCTTTCTAATATCTAACCTAAACCTCCCCTGGCACAGCTTAAGGCCACGCCCTCTTGTCTTGCTGATAGTTGCCTGGGAGAAGAGACCAACCCCCACCTGGCTACAACCTCCTGTCAGGGAGTTGTAGAGAGTGATGAGATCTCCCCTGAGCCTCCTCTTCTCCAGGCTGAACAACCCCAGCTCCCTCAGCCTCTCCTCATAGCACTTGTGCTTGAGTCCCTTCACCAGCCTCGTTGCTCTCCTCTGGACCTGCTCCAGGACCTCAATATCCTTCCTGAACTGAGGGGCCCAGAACTGGACACAGCACTCCAGGTGTGGCCTCACCAGCGCTGAGTACAGGGGAAGAATCACTTCCCTGGACCTGTTGGCCACACTGTTCCTGATAGAGGCCAGGATGCCATTGGCTGCTTTGTCCAGCTGGGCACACTGCTGGCTCATGTTCAGCTTCCTGTCAATCCAAACTCCCAGGTCCCTCTCTGCCTGGCTGAATAGGTAAGAGATGTATAGTCTCCATCTTAAACAAAGACAAGGTTGTTAAATATCTAAATTTTCTGCAGAGCACTGGATTGGTCGGTGCTGTACTGGGTGCTGTGTGCACACTGTGTGCTGAGCTCTCACAAAGAACTAAGGTGAGTGTGCAGAAAAAGGCAAGGAAAGAATTTCTTCTCCACTTGTCCAAGCCCTGGTGTGTGGTACCAACGGAAGCTTTGGGGCCGATTATTAGGATATGAATAACAGTGCTGAGGTAGCTTCCTCTATTCCAGGAAGCAGAACTTTGTCCTGTCGTGTAAAGGAATAGAGTTTCACAAAAGGTATTTGCCCAGTAGATCTATCAAAGCACAACCAAAGCCCTGCTGGGATGAAAGCAGTGGCAGTATAACTGAGTCCAGGCTCACTGAAAGGGGACAAGGGCAGGCCAGGAGCAACAACTCTGAAAAGCAGTTGAGACACAGCTGAAGAGTCATACCATACAGACTAAGGTAGCAGGAATTCAGGGGAAGTTATGTATATAAAGCCCTCTGTGCAGTCATGGTTGGTTTTCTGACAAATGCCCCATCACTGCAGTGTATTCTGCAGTGGAGACACACAAAACACCTCCCTCCACTGTCACCACTACTCCTCAACTGGAACAGCCATCATGTGCAGCCATGCTGAGTCCAAATTCTTGTGCAAATCCAAAAATATGTAAAAGAGCTTCCACCACAGCACAAAGTTAGGTACAAATATAGCTAAGTAGTCATCATAAGGTTCCTGTGAGACAAGCTAGCAAATTGATTATTCTAGTTTTCCAAGAGACAGGGCTGAGGTGAAGGCACTTACCAGGCACCCATAATAAGTTGGTACATACACAGCAGTGTGCCCAGGTGGCCAAAAAAGGCAAACAGCATCCTGGCCAGTGGCATCAGAAATAGTGCAGCCAGCAGGACTAGGGAAGTGATCGTCCCCCTGTACCTGGCACTGGTGAGGCCACGCCCCAAATTCTGTGTTCAGTTTTGGGTCCCTCACTACAAGAAAGGCATATGGAATGTGTCCAGAGAAGGGCAACAAGGCTGGTGAAGGGCACAAGTGTGGCACAAGTCCTATGAGGAGCAGCTGAGGGAGCTGGGATTGTTTAGTTTGGAGAAAAAGAGAGGTAGGGGAGACCTTATCACTCTACCTGAGAAGAGTTTGTAACCAGGTGAGGGTTGGTCTCTTCTCCCAGGTAGAATGAGAGGAAATGGCCTCAAGTTGAGCCATAGGAGCTTTCGATTGGATATTGGGAAAATATATTTCTTCATTGAAATGGTGGTCAGGCAGTGGAAGAGGCTGCCTAGGGAAATGGTGGAATCGCTATACCTGGAAGTGTTTGAAACGTGTGTGGATGTGGCATTTGGGGATATGGTTTAGTGGTGAACACGGTGGTGCTGGGTTAACGGTTGGACTCGATTATCCTAAAGGTCTTTTCCAACCCTAATAATTCTATGATTAAAGGATGGAATCTTCTGAAATTTCAGCTTGCCTTTTAAAATCAGGGCTTCGATTAATTTCCAGATACCCTTCCCTTTCTCTTTAAATAAAAATGTTGCTTTGCTGCAGGATGAAATGGACAGCAAACTCCTACCGTCAGGGAAGATGAATCACTTGCGATGCTTCCCAGACTTTCCCACCCTGCCTGCCCCCTGCGGGACAGGCGGCGGTGGGGACCCGGAGGGGGCAGGCAGGGTGGGCGAAATCTGACCAAAATCTGCCCCCATCCCTTCTCCCTTTACGGCAGCACTATCCCTTTAAAAGGCGGCCGGGCAGGGAGGACGGGCAGGCGGGAGGTGGCGGTGACGGTCGGGCCATCGCCTGCCCGCCGGGTTTTCCCCCCCTTCCTGGCGGTCCGTCGTTCGCAGCCGCCCGTTAAAAAGAGAAGGCAAAATGGCCGAGCTGGGCAGCAAGGGGGTCACGGCCGGGAAAATCGCCAGCAACGTCCAGAAGAAGCTGACCCGGGCGCAGGAGAAGGTTGGGAATAAGGGGGGCATCCCCGGGATGCGGGGTTGGGGGGATGCGGGTACCCGGTATTACACCCCTCCCCGAAGCAGGGATGCGTCTCGCAGTGGGTGCTGGCGGGGGACTGGCAGCTGCTTTCCCTGCCTGCGGAATTAGGGCCCCTTTGCATCCCGAGAATGGAGAATATCCCTATTGCGAGCGGTAAGGGTTTACCGTCCGCCTGCAGAAACATGGCATCGGATTCAGCCGGGAGCGGGGAGGGAGGACGGAGCGTCGCACGCTTGTGTTGGATCTGTAGATGCTTATTGTTTCAGCAAGGAGGAGACCTTCTCTTTATGGTATTTAGGTTGTGCTTTATGCAGCATTTTCACGAGCAGTTCTGTATTATACCATAGCACTAAATGCGTAACCTCAAAAGATGGTGAGGAAAAGGAGGTGGACACTGCTGCTTATCTTCTAACAGCAAAGCATAATAGTCGCTACTTAATGTACTGACCTTGAGCTCCTGATTTTGGAATGGTGGTAAAGCCAAAGCCATACAGCTTTTTTAAAGATTGTGCCGATGTCTGCTGAGAGAGGGGAGATTTTTGAATCCCAAGGGCCCTTTCGCTGCTCTCCACCCAGCCCTGTGCCAGCAAAAGGTGCCAGGAATATGCAATGGATACTTTTCGTGTTCATTTCTCTGGCATGCTGCATCTGATGCCAGATGTCTGCTCTCTGTAGGGATTATCGGGCATTTTACGCAGGGACATTGATCAGCTGCTTCTATCGCAGGCACGCTCATCTTGTTTTTCAGTGGTTTGCTGTGAGATGACATTGACTGAATAAGGACTGGTGCATCTTTGAGGGAGGGAGGGAGAACAAATCTGCCCACTGCTGCTCTTGTTCCCCGGGGAGTTATCTTTAGCAGCTAGATTAAATCTAGGAGGTTTGGGATTAGATGCAGTGCTGGCCTGAGCCTTGTACCAGTCTCTGACACTTCAAAAACGCTGCTGGGTCAGAATGGCAGTCCGAACCAGTTGGGCCTAATGTGGCACATGCTGTATCCACTAGTTTTAGCTCACTTACCAAGACTAGGACTTGCCTGACTGCTTGGAAAACACCCCAAGTGACTAGCAGATCCAGTATGGAACTGCAGCAGCAAGGTCCTGGCTTCACTCTGTACATAAGAGTCATCATGGCCACATCTGTGGTTTTTTTCACCTTACTGTGGTTCCAGAGGGGACAAAACAGGGACTCTGTCTCCTGATACCTGGTCCTGAACTCATCGCAGATGCTAACTTCATTCTGTGTTAGCCACCAGATGGCAACCATATTTGTAATTAATATTAAGGTAGGTGGTAAAGGCTGAGCTCCTTGGCCTTCTGATGAAGTTATTGTACTTACTGGTGCAGCTTGGAGCCAAGTGTGGCCTGCCAAGCCCTTCCCTGACTTCTTATCTGAAGGCACACAGGTCCTTTTCCTAGGGATAATTTTCCACAAATTTCTCTCAACTGGCGATCTAGCAGACTTCCTCACTTTCCTCACTAACGCCCTGGTGGTGACTGGGGCTGTGAGAATGAGGACAACAGTAATAATCGAGTGTTTAGCTGTGTATGGCAAATGATTTCCAGGATCTGAAAACAGTTTCTTATCTCTTTACACAGAAGAAAGCACAGCTTATTTTCCCTTAAGGAGAAAAGGAAAAACCCATAACACTTGCTTAATAAGCTAACACAAATTCTAGGCCCTTCAGCTGTTGTTATCCTAATGCAAACAGAACAACTTTGGTCTCTGGGCTCTCAGAAAAGAAAAAGATGGTATTGCTTGCTTCATCTTCTAACTTGCCCCCTCATACTGCTACAGTATTATCTGTAACAATTCTTCCTTAGTGAAGTGTTGGAATTTTACACGTGTCTCTGAGGGACAGACTTTAACTGAGGCAAATACGTGAATGTTAACTTTCAGGTGGTGAGGAAGGATACAGCTGAATATGATGTGACATGGAATTCATCAGTGGTTATGACACCGTACTGGTATTACTCTTGTGGTATTTAGTTTTTAACTGTGGTACTGTGTTTAGCAGGAAGGGTAAACCAAGTGTCAAGGGATAAGGACCAGGTGTTAAATAATAAGAAAGAAGGTAAGCAGAAGTGTGCAGAGGTAGATCTGGGTACACAACTTAAAAATGTATTAATTTTTTGGGAAGGGATGCTGACTGGGTTGAACTTTTTCTTTTTGAGACTTAAACAAGCTTGACAGTGTTCCTTTTAC